AGTCTGGTGAATCAATAAATGTATGATCTCGCGAATCTCATTTACATGTCGTTTTTCACATATTACGATACTAAAACTGCACTAAAAAAAGATTTGTTCTTCTCCAAGAATGATTATCTTAAGATAAAGTCATTTACAGATGTCAATTGGACTGGATCTCCAAATGATAGAAGGTCAACTATCAGTTACTGCACACTCGTAAGAGAAATCTTGATTACATGGAAAAACAAGAAACAAAGTGTAGTTGTGCGCTCCAGTGCTAAAACAAAAGATAGAGTAATGGCCTAAGGAATTATTATGATTGCAAAATTAATGAAAGAATTAAAATTATTTAAAGAAAAGAGTATATTCTTATTTTATGACAATAAATCAGTTATTAGCATTGGTTATAATCTATTTCAACATGAGTGAACAAAGCATATTGAGAATTTTTTTTTTTGAAACAAAAAAGAAAGAATAAGATATACATGTAAGCACATTACAATTAATCAACATCTAATAAAAGAGAAAATGGTTGATAGCTCCTTATGTCTATATCATATGCGTTCAAGTGACCAGGTGGCAGATGTCTTCATTAAAGGACTTTACAACAAATCTCTTTATAACTTGGTCTGAAAGTTGAACATGTATAATATTTTTGTATCCACTTAAGGGAAAGTGTTGACTAAAAATATTATGTTACTTAATTAATTGAGATATTTTTTCCTGTATAAACCTTTCCTTAATCTTTCTCATAATTATGTAGTTACTAAGAATTAATTATAATCGTTACTACAATGTTAATTTCCATATCTGTAGGTAGAAATTATGTACATATATCCAGTTGTAACAACATAAGTGGTATCAAAAAATAAAGTAAATATTTTTTCTCCGAAATCTTTATATATATGTAGAGAAACAGAGAGGGAGAGAGAGAGAGAGAGAAAAAAAAAAAACCTTGAGAAGAAAATTTTGATTTCAATTTATTTGAAATGAAGAAGATGAAGATAATTTATTTATTTTGAGTTTCAAAAAGAGAATATGGTCTTTTGGTTTCTTCTCAAAAAAAATTGGGCGATGCTAGTGTTTTTGAACGAGTTCAAAAATTTAGAGATTAAATTATAAGAAAAAAAACTTTTATGACTAAAATATAATATTGGTCAAATTCGTTATTCAAAAAAAAAATATGGGTCAAATTCGGTATTCAAAAGAACATATTGGTCAAATTCGAATAGTAAATTGTGTATTTATCCAAATACTAATTAAAAATCATCACAAATGATTTTCCTCGCATAGGACAAACTGTGTGACTCTTTTCCACACCTTGAACCCAACAAAAAGGGTGCCCCTCCATCGCACCTTACTCTCCTCACTCTTCATACCTTATTAAGCATAGAAGAACACCTAGAGAGTGGGAGGAGAATTCCAACAATCCCTAAGGATTGTAAACAGACTTATTCAAGAGCTACAACACAAAGACAACTTGTTATTCATATTTAGTCCTCAAGAACACAATGCAAATGGAATCTTATCAACTTCAACTTGACCATCAGGAAGGCATAAAAATAGATGATGAAATCCAAATTCAAGTCCATCTTCACCAGACATCATTGGCTATCTTATCTACTTCTAAGACTATTGAATAAGGAGTCAAAAAAGAGAAAAACAAAGTAAATTACTAAATATGACTCACCCGCATGCATGCAGCTTCAATTGACCTCTCAACGTATGTTTTAATTCTCTCACTAGCATCACCATTCAAAGCATCCAGTCTCACAAGCTGCATGCATGAAAACATATCTCGCATGAAAAAGTTAATGAAAAGTTTCTGCTAGATTTAAACATAATTAAATTTAGATTATTCCTATGTCATCAGAATAAACTGAGACTAAGCAGTAGGATTATATCATAGAAACGCACATTGGATCAAAAAGCTTCTTTTATGAGCAATTACATATTATGGGAAAGAAGAAAAAAAAAGCACTGTTAGACGACAAGAAATCCTCATAAAAACAAAAAGGCATAAGGAGAGAATAACATCAAAACAATAATGCATCATAATCTCTTCGCAGAATAGCCAAAGATACATTAAAAAATCATGAGCCTTATAGCCAACAAAGCATCAAAGAAGACCACCTTGTCTTGTAGGGAAGACAGATGAAAATGATGATCCCTGAAGAGTCTACCATTATGCACCAACCACAACAGTCAGAAACCAAAAAAGCTTTCATAAGCACTAGTATCCTTCTTCTACCCACCTCCCTTAAGAACCAAAGAGGAAACAGCTAAGAGAATACCACCCAGATGAAGCCAAAAGGTACCGAGGAACTAGGACCAAAGCCTCCAAGCCACCTCACAGTCAAAAGATAGGTGACTACCAAACTCAGCCGCCTTAAAGCACATAACACATATATCCAAGGAAAGGGCCAGATCAGGTTCACGAATTTGCAACAAATTGCTTATGTCAAACCAATTTAGAGTAGCGATCCAAACAAAAACATTATACTTCAAAGAAAATTTAGCAAGGAAAATGGTATTCACACTAACTCCAAGCTGAAACTAATTAGGTTACATAAATCTCCATAATCAGATATCAGCTGAGAAGAAAATCATAGGTCTTAGGGTTTGGAGCTAATAATCTCTAATTCTCTGGAAGGCCTCATTAAAACTCTTTTTTTTCCTATCTAAATTACCTAAAAATTCTATGGGGAATGCAAGAGACTGTGTTCTTTTAATCTTTATTTGCCTTAGTTCCCTCTTGAGCCCAAAGCTCATATAGTTTAAGAATTCTAACCCAATACTTTCAATATATTCTCATGTACAAGCAAAATTTTCAGCTAAGCAAGCCAACTCATCTCCAAGAAAAAGGCAAAAAACTCCAAGTAGAAGGAAATATGATTTCCTAAGCCAAAGAAAGATTGGCAACTTGTACAACTCCAAAGCCCAGTAATAGAGGGCAAAGTAGGGGTAAAAGTTACTAGAGAATAAACAAATTTTCAATGATTTAAATCTACAACCTCTAACTCTGACACTGTGAAATAATGATTGGGTGATCAGTCGTCCATATGTGAAATAATGATTGGGTAATATTTATTTAAGAATGCACTCCGGTCATGCCTTAATAAGAGGGGGTTATGACAGTAGGAACTAAACGAAAATCACAGTATGACAACGGATTGCAACAATATGCAGCATGTCTCAAAATATTTGTAAAACAAAATCGTGCGTATCAATTTTTGACAGGACTAAACCTTCAATATGATCAAGTATGATTTAGATTTAGGTAAAAGAAAAAATATCATCATTCAATGAGGTAATTTTTATTGTAACGGCAGAAGAAAGCATGAGAGGGGTCATGCTAGAACCTCGTTCAATAGACAATGCGGCTCTAAGAGAGTCTTCTCTCCTGTTATCACCAATCCTATGCATAAGATTTGTCTCCACCACAAGAGACTTGCACACTCATGCGTCTCCATTTTGAAAATTATATTTTCCTTATTGTTTAAAAATTCATAATATGAAAATTTACTCTACGATATCTATCAGTTTGCGAAATATAAACTTGTAACAATTCTCATTAATAATAAAAGAAGTCCAGTTCTATTTCCATTAATTTACCTTGATATTTGGATATCAACTTGCACACCTAATATTTAAAGGCGTTGTTGATTTGTGTCATTTATTAACGATTGTATTAATCACATAACTGTTTTTACTCAAATCCAAATATGATGTTGGTCATATTCTAACTCAGTTCTACAATATGATAGAAGCCTAATTTGGAACATTCATACAAAAATCTCATACTGACAATGCCAACGATATTTCAATCACAATTTCATCATTCTTACATCATAAATGAATTCTTCATAAATCATTTTACGTCCACACTGCACAACAGAATGGAGTAGTAGAATGAAAGAATAGTCAACCTTTAACTGCCACTAGATCTTTTCTTTTATAGGACAACGTCTCAAAACAATATTGGGACAAAATTATTGTCACTGTAACCTACATTATTAGCCGTATGTCCACAAGTGTTCTCGACTACAAAAATCCTTTCAAAATACTTCAACAGTTTTACCCAACAGTACATGTCACAAACCATCTAATCTCTCAAATATTTAGTTATGTACCTTTATTCATGTTTATTCCCGCCAAAGAAGAAAATTTAATCTCTAAATACTTAAATGTGTATTTACTGAAAAATTTTATTTGTATGCGGATATCATATATGTTGAACAAGAAT